TTGATCCACCCTGAGTTGACTCCTAGTTAGGATTTCAGCAGCCAAGCTACATAAGGAAAGAGAGGGAGTCTGTAGTGGAGTGACCGTAGAGGAGGAAAGCAGGCTCCAAGGAAGGAGGTGGGGTTGCTGCAGGTCTCTGGGAAGTCGGAGAGTGGGCAGAGAATCACTGAAACACACAGTCTGTGGGACAGGATGTACGACGCCTGTCAAGTGTGTGTCCTGTGCTCTCAAGGGAGGCACCTTCTGCAGGAGCACCAGCTCACTCCAGGGCCCAAGCTCTAGCATTGGCCTCTTACGGCACCACCACCCATTTTATGGTTTTGGTTACCTTTTAAATGTCTTAATAAAAGATGAAACGTATTTACTCTCCATAGATCAATTATTTACTATGAGTTATAACAATACTAAATTTGGTCAATTATTCATCAGCTCTAAAGTATTTATAAATGCTACCTTAATTTGAAGCATTAGCCATTGGAATTCAAATATTAATATAGCTGTTTCCCATTTAAAGGAAGAAAGGAAGAGTACAGATAATGAGGGTGACTGGGGGCAGGTGGGTGCTCGTGTAGGTTAAGATTGTTGGAGAAATGAGGTGGCTCATGGAGCAGCCTGGGGGTCGGCAGAGGTGCTGGACTCCCTTGGGGAGATACCATTCCTTCTGGCAGGCAGGGCTGAGCCCGGGTTTGCCCAGAGCCTGGCTGTTTTTTCTGCTGCCCACGGGGAGGAGCTGAGCCTTGCCAGGTTCCTCTGAGGTTAGGGCATCAGGTCATTTCTCCCCAGGTGGAGGCTCTCTCTTGCCTCATCCATTTGGAAACATCCTGCTGCTCTTTAAGGTGGCACCCAGAGGCCGGCTAACACAGGGGTTGCCAGTTGAGGGGGTTGGGACCTCAGAGTAGCAGGGGCTGCATGGGCAGATCTTCTTCCAGGGTGAGCAAGCCTGGGAGCGATGCCTCAAGGGCACCTGACAGAGGGAAAGGCTGAGCTGGCAGTGGCCAGTGTCATGACCGGGGGTGGCACCAGGAACTGTGGGTCTCTTCTAACACATGCCTTCTGGGGTATTGCTTCCCACAGCCTTGTTCTGAGAATGTTCCAGAAATCCCCATGGAGATGGAGAATAGTGGGCATGGATTAGTGATGGTGCCCAGAGTGACCTCAATTTCTGGGGCACCTCTCTCACCTCCAGCACCCACCTGCAGGCACCCAGTGACTTGATGAGTCAAGGATCTGCTTTCAGGGGAGACAGGCGTTGTTCCTGCCTGCCTGCTCCTTCCCTGGGGCCTGCACTGAGCTGGGAGCTGCCCTGGAGATTTCTATCCAGGGACAGTTGGGTAGAGTCAGCCTGGAATCCTGGGTTCTGTCCCTGCTGGCCACTTTCTCTTTGCAGCATTGGATATAGAGGTGCCTGGTGGTCTGGGGTTCTCTTTGCTGTTTGCTCTCTGGCTATGTGGTCCTGGCCAGGCAACTAGCACTCTCTGTGCTGTATTTTTTTTTTTTTTTTTTAACCAGGAAATCAGAAAGCTCACCTGGGGTGAGAGTTACCGAGAGTTTGTCCTATGAAGTGGCCAGTACCTCACCTGACATGTCTCATCCCTGAGAGTCTGCTGTCTGGAAAATTTTTGCCTGTATGGGTGGGATGCGAACATCGTCTCCAGGGAAGCAGGTGGGAATGTGACTATGGATTGTGGAGTTGAATTGGGAATGCTGGCTGCCCCCCACCCTCGCCCCTGAGCTCTGAGTAGCCCTTTCTTTTGTGGAGACCTTCCACTTTCCCAGGACACAGGGTGCAGGTGAGGAGGCTGGAAGCTGCTCATTACAGTTTGTCTTACTTTCTCAGCTGACGGATGGGTCATTCTCAGGGGGCCCTTATCAGTCCATCAAGCCTGTGTTGTAATCAAGAGAGACATCAGCTTTGTGACCATATAATATGGAGGCAAAGAATTATAACAAAAGCTGTTATCCTCTAGAGAGCTGTACAAACATCTTTGAGCATCATCCTAGGTAGTGGTGACTTCCGATTTGCTACTATGTGCGAGGCAGCATGAATGGCCGTCCACATATAAAGACCTTTCATGGCACACGTGGAGCAGCCCTGTGAAAAGGGAGCCATCATCTTTATTTGACCCCCCTAAGAAGAAAGAAAGAAGGAAAAAGAAAGAAAGAAAGACAGAAAGAAATAAAGAGAAAGCCAACCAGTAACCCAGAGAGGACAAGCCCTCACCCACGGTCCCAGTGTGTGACCAGGGCAGGCCCCGGACTCCAGCAGGTGGCCAGGCCTGGTCCTGGGGTTCAGCATCTGTCACAACAACCAGGGCATGCATTGTGTAACATCCCATCACACACAACCTTGATTAAGCTAATAGCTGATTTGGCTTTGATCTGATGTATTTTGATCTTATTATTTTTATGTTAGAAGCCTCCAAATAACCATCATTTCAACAGTGCCCCAATTAGCAGGCCATTCACAGTGGATTGGAAATTGACTCACATCGGGCCTCTCCATTAGCGCCTGGGAGAGGCTTCCAGCCTTAATTACCCACCCTGTTTGTGAGGCCTGGCGCTTACGACGCTGCAGGTGGCTCCATGAGGGGTGGGCCGGCAGCACCCACCTCCATGGGGAGGGTGAGATGGCTCTCGCCTGAGACTAGTAATACTTAAGATCCTGGGCATGACTTTGATGGAGAGATGGGATGTCCAAGGAAGGGGCAGGAGGCTGACATCTGTTCAGCATCTTGTGCACTGTGAGACATTGGCTCTTGCTGTCTGCGTCCTAAGCCAGTGCTCTCATAGCTCTGCTGGGTAGAGATTCTTATTCCTATTTAATAGAAAATGGAGGCTTAGAAAGGGACATGCCCGTGGCTGTGTGGCTACTGACTGGGGGAGCCAAAACTGGAACTTGGGTGAACGTGAGATGCGAATGCTCTTCCCACCACCCTTGGTGAGGTGGTAGCTGGTGAGGGTTCTGCCCGGCTCTATGTCATCGTCAGTCTGCACCCACCTTGTGCTGCTCTCTCTGAGGGAGACCCTGAAAGGTTCTAAATCCTTTCCTTCCTTTGAGGCCCTGGTGCCGACCGCAAATGAATTTACCCTCCTTTGTGTCCCAGGGAGCTTCCTCTCTCTTTCCTCCAGTTGAGTTGCAGAGTCTGTCTCCTCGGTGAATCCTAACCTCCTCAAAGATGGGACCTGTGGTCCTCCTGCTTTTCCCCCTAATAGTGCTTAGGGCAGGGGCTGGCTTGTGGGGGGTGGGGGGTAGGCAGGAATACCAAATGTATGTATGAGACAAGGAGGGCAGTAGCCAGTGGCATGCATGCCCTGATGGGGAAACTGAGGCTCAGAGACATTCTGCAACTTCAAAACCTGACATATATGGAGTGGGGACAGATGATGACCTGGGAGGGAGCCAGGCATGTGGGGCAACAAGAGCCAAAAGTGACTGAGGGCTGCAAGGAGGACTCTCCATGGGAGTCCTGGGATGGGAGAACTCCACAATTGAGCATTGGAGTTCCTGGACAATTTACGTCCCAGGGATATACAGTTTATTTTATACAATTGCTGTTTAAGATTAAAAATGTATAGTATTGGCATTAAAGAGAACATGCACAAGAAAAAATATCCATGTACTGTCGTAGCGCCTTAGCCTTTAGTGTTTTCTCTTGCCGTTTTCATGGGTGTGCTTTCTGCCTAGCTGTAATCATAGTTAGCATATAATTTTGTGCCCTGGTATTTTCACATGGCCACCTCTCAGAAGCATTTTCCCCATGTCTGTAGCAATGTTCATTGTGTGGCCTCACATCTCATTGTCTGGAAAATGGATGCAATGATACCTACTCTACACAAATGTCCTGAGAGTACTGTGAATTCACATGTACAAAGGACACTAAGAGAATTTGGCACAGAGGCAATTCTCACACAATAGTCGTTCCTCCTATATAGTTTTCCTACTTATCCATTATCAGAGGATTATTTTTCTATTTAAAAGGAATTATCTGTTTATGTCACAAAATTTTGGCAAAATATAGAAAAGAAAGAAGACCACTTTCAGGTTTCTTCTAAATTGCAGTGACTTTTAACATTTTGCAATATTTCCTTCTGGTTTTTCTTTCATGCATGCTGACGTTTTATTTAATTGATAAAATAAAATACATGTAATTTTGTATCGCTTTCACCTACTTTTTTATGACAGGCACTTTCCCGTGTTATTGTAGTATCTTCTTGAGTAGTTTAAAGGCTGTATATACTTTCAGCAAATGGGGCCCTTTCATAACCACTCACCTATTTGCATCTTTTAGATTGTTAGCAATATTCCAAGAGTACGGATAGTGTCCTCTGAATGGTTTTGGATTGAATGCTGTTCCTATGGTTTGGACAGGTACCCACAGAGGAATTACTGACCGGGGCCATGGAAATTCTTGCATGATATTCTTGCACGAGTCTTTATTGCCTATTGTGAACTGGGCTTAGCACATGTCTGGGAAAGGATAGTGAACACAGCAGGCATGACACTTGTCATCCTGGAACCTGGGGTCAAGCTAGAGAACCAGCCAGTAACACAGGCAACATGTGGCCCATGACAGGGAAGTGCAGTGAAGGGGGATCTTGCCAAAAGGGTCATGAGCCAGTCTGGGGATGCTGAGTCTGAGTTTTGAAGCAAGAGTGAGCATCAAGATTGAAGAGGTGAGTTTGAGGGTCCAGGGTGGACAGTTGGTTGGGATGTAACAGAAAAGGGTATGGTGAGGAGCGTGAGGCTGCAGGCGTGGGAGCTTGCAAGACCACTTTTTCAGGAGTGGACTTTTACTTTATCCCTACGGCTAAAGTAAAACGGGGGCACAGCGGGGCTTTAAACAAGACATGCAATAGATTTCTGTTTAGGAGATAATTCAGCAGACTGGAGCTGGGGTAGGAGAGGGCCAGGGCATCTAGGGGGCTGTGAGATTCACAAGACATCATCATCTCTTGTTTAGCTACCCTTGCTGGTGGCCTTGAAGAGGAGAGAACCATGGGATTTGGTTTCTCGTCCTGCTGGTGCTCATGCCAGTGCAAGGCGAGCGCCCTTGCCCAGAGGGCAGCCGGACTTTGCTGCTGCAGAGTGTGGGGGGACCCTCCCCTTCCCACATGTTCCCCTGCCTCCCACTGCCTTGCTCCCTGGGGTCAGATTCCCCTGTTCTTCTCTCCCTCTCCCAGCCTTACCTGAGGCATTACATAAACCCAAGAGCTCTTGACCGAAAGAACTGCATTGTCAAAAGTCGTTCAAAGTCTGCTGTGTGCAGCAGATGGCCTGCTGCCATTCACAGGCTGTGTTTTGAAACTGCATCTGCTTCTGCACATCCTTGCCATCGCATAAACTATTAGTAAGAAATGTTTGCTTCAAAACTGGTGCAGTGAGTTGCGGCGTTGGGAGTTGCATCTTTCTATTAATTGGTTGATATCCCAAAAAAGTGTAGGCACATGGCTACAAGGGGTGCCTCTTGCAGTTACAGGAGAGCTTGGAAAGATGAGCCCCTGAGCATGTCAGCCCTAGAAGCGGCTGCTGGAGCATCCGTTGCGTTCGTCCTCTGCACCTGTGGTAACTGCCTGAGCAGCGGGAGCGTCTTTCTTTGTTATTGTCAAGTGGCTTTTGAATAATCCTTCTGGAACAACTGCTTCATCTGGGGTTTGGCCCAGTATTTTTATGATATGGATCAAGTGGATTTGGCCAGAAGACCTAGGGTGTCTTTTCTTTTTTTCCTACATCTTGGGTCCTCTTGGGTAAGTGCCTCCCTGACTTTCGGAAGCCATTTAGTCCCTTCAGTCCCAATCAGTTCAGTTCAGTCAACAGTTGTAGAGCACACAGTGTATTCTCCGCCCACAGCTAGGCATGAGGATACACAGATCAACACAATGATGTTTTGGCTCTTAACGGGGCTTAGAGTCTGTTGCCAGGATGGCTAATCTCATAGCTTGGTTGGGGAGTCAGGCAGATTTGCGATGAATCTCTACTCTACCATCCTTCCCTGACTAGCCTAGGGCAAATGGTTTTACCCCTTTTGACTTCTATTTTCTCATGTTAAATGGGTACAAGAATGTCTAGTTGGCATTTTCACCAAGGATGTCAGTGGGGCTGTGCTCATGAAAACTGCTGGCCTGGGCCAGGATGGTTCTTTGTCCTGGAGGGAGGCAGCCTCTCCTGGGAGTCCCCAGGCACGAGCTGCCAGGCATGGGGCCTGCAGGCTGAAGCTGGTGCAGCATCACCCTGATGCTGACCCCTTCCTCTCTCCTCTCTTTCTAGCCTGTGACCTCATGACCCAGGGGATTTTGGCTTTGGTCACGTCCACCGGCTGTGCATCTGCCAACGCCCTGCAGTCCCTCACGGATGCCATGCACATCCCACACCTTTTTGTCCAGCGCAACCCCGGGGGGTCGCCACGCACCGCCTGCCACCTGAACCCCAGCCCTGATGGTGAGGCCTACACACTGGCTTCGAGACCACCCGTCCGCCTCAACGACGTCATGCTCAGGCTGGTGACGGAGCTGCGCTGGCAGAAGTTCGTCATGTTCTACGACAGCGAGTATGGTGAGTCGTCAGGCAGGAGAGCCAGGGCTGCTCGGGGGCAGGGATGGCCAGATGCTGGGAGACTAGAGAGTGGGTGGGGCCCTGGACTGGTGGTGGGTGGTCTGTGCTGAGTGGGTCTCCAGGTGATAGGGTCAAACCTCAAGCTTCATGAGTCAGGAAGAGCTGCAACAACAGCTACATAGATAGGCACTAGAGTTGCCTAGCAACAACACCTTATCATGATGGCTGAAGTTTGAATCATCTTAGAGGTTTCAATAAAATATTAATAAACTGCTGGCAGGGATCCAAAGGGCTGTGTGCTGGCACAGGTGGAGGCCGGCCAGCATGGTTCCTCCTGGAGGCCTCCTCTCCAAAGAGTGCCCTTCACACTGGACGATTGCCAGGCCTTCCTGGCTCCTTGCCTCCATTCATCCCAATCAGCCTTCAGTTTCAGGGTTCCAGGCTGGGGCAAAGGTCAGGGGGAGGAATGCCCTGAGTGTCATGGAGCCAGGCTGGGGTTGGTGGGTTGAGGACACTGGGTAGGGCTGGACATGGCTTCTTTGAAGGCCTCTCATATGAAAAAAAATCATCATTTTCTTGTTAGGAAACCACAAAATGGGCTTTGGAGAAATGGCTTCAGGTTTTCTTATAACTGCTCTGTAAAAATAGACTAGTCGTAATCCTGAGATAGAATGGTTTCCATGTTTAGTGTTTAAACAATTTTTTTTGAAAATTATGAGATAACTTAGATTTACATGCAATTATAAGGAGCAACCCAGAGAGATCCAGTGTGCCTTTCACCCAGGTTCCCCCACGGTAACATCCTGCATAGCTGTAGTACAATATTGCAACCAGGATTTGATACAGCCCATAGGCCTTGTTCATATTTCAGTAGTGCATGTGATCTTGCAGGTATGGATTTATTGCCATGCATTTTAAAAATCACATGTGTAGATTCCTGTGACCACCAGTCAGGATACAGAGTAGTTCCTTCACAAGGATCCCTATCTACCTCTGTACAGCCACAGACACCCCCATAACATGTTAGAGGGTGTGGGAGACTGATGAGGGTTGGCAGCCCCACGGCCGGTGCCAGGATGGAATGGGTGGACCTTCGAAAGTCCCATTTTGTCTCTGAGTGATATAATTTCTTTGCCAAGAATGTAACTAAGAAAAGAAATCAGCATATGTTTGCATTTGCCTAAATACCCTTCTTCTCTAAGACTGGAATGTTGTCCCCAGCTCTTGAGCAAATATACTGTTTGGAGTCTTCCAGGAAGAATTGAAAGAGCAAACAGTCACTGTGCTGAAATAAAAATGAGGTGGATGGGGACAAGGGTGGGACCCGAACTGGACTCAGTCCAAGACCTGGCCTCTCCCTCCCACGCTCCCACTCCTGCTCAGTCCCTGGCCCTTGGGGAGGAGTTGGAGGCTTTGTAAGAGCCCTAAGTTGCCTGCAGGGATCTTTCAGGGGCCAGGCCTTCCCCTGAGAGCCCTTGAGGCTGGTGGCTCAACCCCAAAGTCCAGCCTGCTCTGAGGCTGGGCCCTGTGGAGAGGCATGGACACTGCCGGGGATGGGGGTGCTGGGATCCAGTGTGCCCAGGCCCTTCCCACCCCACTTTCTCTGGGCATCATTGCTCTGTTTCCAATCTGGCCTGCAGACACAGTTTTCCTCTAGAGCCTGGAAGGCGACCTTGATGGGAACCTCAGCTGCTGGGAGGGCAGGTGATCAGCTCTCTAGCCTGCCCACCCGTCTGTGCTCCTGTGACTCCTGCAGACTGAACAAGGCCTGGTGGCACTTGCCCAAGTCCTGTTTTCTTATTACACTCCTTACCCTCACTCTGCTCAAGATGCAGGTCCACAAAGAAAAATGTTCCTGAGCCTCACCTGTCCTACAGAGCTGGCAGCTTGGTTACACGCTCTCGCAGACATGCTCGTCCTGCCCTCAGCCTGCTCTCGGCTTGTCCTGACTCTCATGAGGGCTGGTCCTCCATGAGTGCTGGACTGCCTGGTGAGGCAGTGAAGTCCGGGAGAGTGGCTGTGTACTTCCCACCACAATGGCCCTGCTGTCTGCACGCTGCCTGGCACAGAGTAGCCCCTTGACACATTCATGGATGGGGACATGGAGTTTTCAAGCCATTTTCAAACAAGACAAAGGAGGAATGGGGAGAAAGACAAGGGTACTGGATAGTCTGACCTCTGAATATGAGGTGGCAGGGAAGGGGTGTAGGCTAGGAAATGGGTTTTATTCTGCAGATACACTTCCCCACCCCTCTTCTCTCCTCCACCTGGAATCTACAATGGGACCAAAAGCTGTGTTCCTCTTTTCTGACATGGACACCTTTGCTACCTATGGTGGGGTTGAAGTTAGTTTCCAGTCAGACTGCTCCTTATCAGTAATTCCATAAAGTTACCAAGTGACCAGTAACTTTCATCTGGAGGACCACTGTAGGTGGTTGGTTGAGGCTGCTTGGGAGCTGTGCTGGGAAGGATTCTGAGGCTGTGTGTGGGCTCAGCAGCAGAAAACACCATGGTTGGTCTGTGAGACTTCCATGGTGCAAGAGAGGGATTGGCAGGGACCTGTCATGTTTGCTGGTTCAGACCTGGAGGGTGGAGGTGAGTGGAGAACCCCAGAGGTGGGGTTCTCAGTCGGAAGACAGCCTCAGAGCTGTATACTCATGGCGCTGTCCAGGGTGCTAGCCCTTCTGGCTCTCCGCTTGCTGGAGGCCAGAGACCTCTTTTTATTGGATTCTGTGCAGGACCTCTTGCCTCTGCCTTCCCTGGTCATCGGCCTCCTGATGTGACAAGCAGTGAGGCTTGGTTTCTGCCTCTACACATTTTCTGTAAAATTTTAACTCAGTGCCCAGTGCTCGTCCTGGCTTTCCCCTCATGCCCAGCCCAGCTGCTGCCCATTTCCAATGTGCCTGAGCCAAGGCAGCTCAGCCTATCTGCTGTTTGATGCAGAACATTCAGCCCTCGGAGTGGGAGTGTGGCTGCTCCCTTGGCATGGCTGGCTGTGGCCTGTCCCAGTGTCACTTCTAGGTGGATACACATTGCCTATATAGCCAAGACAAACAGTGCCTCTGGAACGCCTCAGAGCCCCTCCTCCCCCCGACTCACTGCAGCACTAGCTGCAGATGAGCCCAATTAAAAAGCAAATTAAGTGTAAAGACTGTTCTATTCTTTCCAAAGTCAAACAGAAGTGGTTTGGGAATATAGCAACTTTTTTTCAATGCTTCTGCAAGTATCTTTATGTATTTTACTTCACTCTAGCCACCCAACATCCCTCTGAGGTCGGATTATCACTACATTTTACAGATGATGAAAATGAGGCTCAGAAAGGTTCTTTTTGACTTTAGTACCCATGCATTTAGCCAAGGCATCATCCTGTTTCTGTAATTTGGACTTACTAGCCTCTAGCTTCCTGCTGCTGTCCCCAACCAGTCAGAGTTGATGCCAAGAAAAAGGGAGGTAGTTTAGAAGGGACATGACATGCTTTAGGCTGGTGCAGTCACTTCAGTGAGCATCACACATAGGCTTCCTCCTTTGTGGGGCAAGGCCTGATTCTTCCTCATTTGCTCATCAGCCTCCCTTTAAACCCAGGAATGTCCTGCCCCATATAGAGCCTGAGGACTGGGCATTTGAGTCAGGAGTTAGAGATCAGAACAGGAAAAGCCATTGGCTCCAAGACAGAATTTGGCAGAAGGGTGAGAGAGGAGATGGTATGTATATGGTTTACAAGATGTGCCATTTGGTAAAATTCCACTGAAAATACTTGTATGCTTGTTGTGATAGTGAAAGGAAAAACAAAAGAGAAGATGACATTTGAGAGAGAAAATTTGCAACATTAAAATACCAAAAGTTTGGATCGAAAAGAATGGAGAACTTTCTGAGTTGCCACTTCAAATGCTGGGATATTCATGTGTGTGTATGCATTGGCAGGGGCCGGGGTGGGGATGTGCTAGTAGCTGTATCAACAATTTCCCTCTAGCGAATAAATTTGGATGAAGGTTGTAATTATGATGAGCTCTTAGATATCACTGACTCATTCATTCAACAAATATTCACGGAATCCCTACCGCATGCCAGGTATTTTGCTAGGCACTCATTTTCAATGAAGACACAGATGGGTGGAGTAACTTGGCTAATGTTGCATGGACTGGCATTGGAAGTCAGGGCCCAGGGGCCCAGGGGCATCTCCAGGGCACGGCAGTCGCTCTTGGCCTCTGGGCTAGCTTGCAGACTGGGGATGGGTTGGAAGCTGGGATTCCACAGAAACAAAACATCAGGGCTCTGTATGAGTGACTAGTATCTATTTGTGCCAGTTTAAAAATTATTTTTTAATTGAATGCTACACGTGGTTACAATGTATATGTTCAATTAAAAGACTGATAACCTGAAGACTCATGAACGCACAATCAGTTTAAAAAATATCAAGGAGCCCTTGTGTGCTTCACCCTGACCATGTCTCCCTTACAGAGGGACTTAAACACTCTCCTGATTGTGTGCTAACAAGTCCCTCGCTTTCCTTGATATATTTTTTTTCTTTTTATGTGTCTGAAGTTTTGCCAAGTTGTATCTAAGCATGGAAATTTTAAATTTATGCCTCATATTTTTAAAACACTGTACATGTATTTCACTGTTTTAGAGGATCCCAAGCCAATGTCTTTTTTTTTTTTTTTTTTTTAACTTTTATTTTAGGCTTAGTGGTACAAGTGCAAGTTTGTTACATAGGTAAACTGGTGTCGTGGGAGTTTGTTGTATAGATTATTTCATCACCAAGATAGTAATCCTAGTACCCATTAGTTGTTTTTCTTGATCCTCTCCCTCCTCCCACCCTCCAATCTCCACCCTCCCTCCACTCTCCACCTTCCCATAGGCCCCAGTGTGTGTTGTTCCCCTCTGTGTGTCCATGAGTTCTCATGATTTAGTTCCCACTTAGAAGTGAGAACATGCCCTATGTGGTTTTCTGTTCCTTAGTTGGCTCAGGATAGTGGCTTGCAGCTCCATTCCTTGATAGT